TTGTGCAGAGAATCGAGAGCAAGGAACCACATACAAAACAGACGTGTATGCTGTGAGGCCACTCAGTTTAGACAGTTTGTGCAGTTTGCCATATCCTGCCATATCCTGCCATCATACTGGGCCCACATTTGCCGGCCGGGCTAGGCAAGAAGATTCCTTTTAAATTAGAATCAAATTAGCTTCTTGTTTCTAATAGCAAACATTGTTACTACTAGTAAGGCACTTGTTACTACTAGCGATGCACTTGTTACTAGTAGCTTCTTGCTCCTAGTAGTAAGGCCCTTTGCTCCTAGTAGCTTCTTTGTTACTACTAGTAAGGCACCTGTTACTACTAGCGTGGCACTTGTTCCTAATAGCTTCTTGTTACTACTAGCGATGCACTTGTTACTACTAGTAAGGCGCTTGTTACTACTAGCGATGCACTTGTTACTAGTAGCTTCTTGTTACTAGTAGTAAGGCACTTGTTACTACTAGTAAGGCACTTGTTACTACTAGCGATGCACTTGTTACTAGTAGCTTCTTGTTACTACTAGTAAGGCACTTGTTACTACTAGCGATGCACTTGTTACTACTAGTAAGGCACTTGTTACTACTAGCGATGCACTTGTTGCTAGTATTTTCTTGTTTCTAATAGCGATGCACTTGTTACTACTAGTAAGGCACCTGTTACTACTAGCGTGGCACTTGTTACTAGGCAAGAAGACAACGAATTTCGATGCCATGCGCGACCTCAATGGCCGAAGAATTCGGCACGTGAAAGCTGCTGCTCGGGCTCGATCATTTCTGGACTCGCGTACGAAATCTGAGCTTGCTTTGATGAAGCAATACCAGTTTTGTGGGCTTGGAATTGCTGTTGTCATGTGTTGTCAAAGCAAAGGGGTTTAAACAGTTTTAAACGTTGTCAGGGCCCGGTTGTCAACTACTTTAGGGGCGATAGGCACGCTCTTGTGCCAAGAGCGTGGTCAACTCACACGTCAGAGAGAGGGAGAGGAGCGAGTAGAGTATCTGTGCACGTTGTGGCAATTCTCGTTATGTGCTCAGGTGGAGCGCATTAAGGAGTGGCTGGAGAAAAAGAAACGTGAGGATGAGTTGGTCAACCTTTTGACTGGCGAAGGTCCAGAGTTGCCGAAGCCCACCCCACAGTCTGTGCCTCGGCCGTGCTATGCCGCACCAGCCCCACCAGTAAGAAACGCAGGCTTTTCGACTGTTTCGAAACTTAGCTTAGCGTGCCTTAAGGAGAGGCACGGGCACGGTTCCAGCAGATCAGATTTGGACATTTTAAGTGCAACCCAGTTTGCATTCCCAGTTTCTGAGGACAGTCTAGATCCTGAGTATTTGCGCAAACTGAAGCGGTCTGCGGCATCCAGATCATCTTTAGTCAGTGAGGGACACTTTGCTGACTTTAGACAAAGAAGCTGCAAGTAGCTCCTGGCATTACCACTAGGAATGAGAAGCAACTAGTAGCTAGAAGCTAGTAGGTTGGAGGCCATTACTCCTAGGAACAAGAAGCTACTAGTGATAAGTGCATTACTACTAGTAGCTTCATGCTCATTGTTTGGGCCTATGAGTCGAGGTCATAGGCGGCTCAGCGGTCAGTGTGTGCTGCGTGCTGTCTAGCTTCCCCAGAGATTTCTGCTAACTTGCTATCCGATCTCGGCTGACAGGACTGCGCCACCTAGAGAAAGAAGGAGAAGAGCAGGAAAGCATAGAGGATTCAGAATCGAAGAGGCCCAGAATGGAGGAGAAAGAGAAGGCATGGCACGTGAGACTCATGTGATGATTTGCTTTGAGCGCGGGATGACACTTGAGGTACCTAGCTTAACCCAGGCTATTAGGGTGGACGCCAGATTGAGCCTTTGTGGAGGAGAGCGACGATGAGGATGGAGTAGATTGGATGGGAGCAATGAGCGCTCTGCAGGGCCTGAGCGATGATGATGAGGAGGAGAAGGATGCCAAGGACAGGCCTGTAGGGCATGCTATTGCCATTAGGGGGACAGGATGCCTTGTGGGAGACGTGCTCGAATGTGAAGTCAGCTGAGCAGCTGAGCAGTTGGGATTCGTAAGGGGCAACCGGTCACTGCCTAACTGACTGAGACGCTTCAGAACTGACTGAGACTGACAGAACGCATGGGATGAAGTACAGAACTCGGTCTCGGACCGGCATTCAGGCAGGGCACGCATGACATGGCGTCGAATCGAAACCTAATAGCCATGGCCTCCAAATTAATAGCGATGGCCTCCAAGCATTGGTTTTTCTGCAAATCTTTCCAACTCTACGCATTGAATGTTGTTCTCAAGGAGCAGGCCTCATCTTCTGCGGCATCATCTTCCAAGTGAGAACGCATCGGATCGTGTAGAGGCTGCGGCTGTAAACTTTCCCTCACCCCCACCCAGCCAGTCCCAAAGCGACGGAACATCTTAGGGTTCGTGCGATCCCTTGAACAAGAGCTCATGGATTCTAGTGAGCACAGTTCTGGGCATGTAGTTTGAAACGCCACAAAGGGTTCAAGCCAATTCAAGCCTCTGACAGCCTCTGGGTTCATGCAGGGAAGGTTTCACACCCGACCCTGCATACCTGCGTGAAGACAAAGACTTGTGCCGCTGTGCTGGGAAATCAGGAGCTGGGCACACTTGCTTCAGGCATGCGGCATATCCACAGCTGCAAATCATGGGCACCGCTTTTGCCTCACGATTTTAACTCTATTTGGATGGTTCTGATTCCACCTGCAGTTCGTACAATGGATGAATGAACATGAATGAACCACGTCCCATAAACAATGCAAAGCAGGCACGGTGAATGATGCTTGTCCGTTCGGTGCTGAGCTTTCAGTGTTTGTGAGGAACCTGCTCCAGCTGCAGACAATGCAGATGATGATGAAGGCCTATGATGGGCCTAGGCTTCTGTGTATAAACAGCATCCATGAACCCAATACGAACCCCAAACAATTGCTAGGTTGGAGGCCATCGCTATTAGGGTGGAGGCCATTCCTATTAGGTTGGCTATTAGGTTGGAGTCACCTCTCATTCGATCATCCCTGAAAGGTTGGAGTACGGCGGCAGGCAAGAAGAAGGGCCGGAAGGCGGGCGGGAGCTGCACAACCGCAAAGGAGAGGTAGCTCCGGCCCATGAATCCTAGGTCGACATGTTTTTATTAATATTACTTTTCGAAGTTTCAATGTTCTTAATTTGTGAATCCTGCCATATCCTGCCGCCTACAGGCACCTGCCAAAAAGTGAGGGTCTCACCTTTCCATGCGTGCCATGCTATCCAAAGTGCATTCCGTGCGTGCGTCTTTGTACATTTGTGGCGGAACGATGTCCTGGTGGATCTGAACCAGGTCGACTCCCGACACATGAAATGCAGTGAACTGATTTCCACAATGTTAGTTTCATGGCAGTGCCAAGTGTTGTGCTACATTCGGCAATTCTTCAAGTCTAGTTAATTGCTGCTTCAATTTGGCTACAACCCACAGGTTGAGAGCAGACTGTGCAAACTTATGAAGTTGGACTTGAGTTTGGGCCACCAGTGGCTGGCATGTGGATTTTTGTGGAGGTTCGGAGGGCAAGGCGTACATTTGCAGGAGAAAACAGAACCGGTGAGAATTTTAACATAATTGAACCTTAATTACCCACCTGCTCATACAATACGGATTGGGAGTATCAGCGCTCTGAGCATTCTCGACATTCCCCTTGTTGCTACTAGGCCTTTTCTCGAAGACTTTGAGCAAGAGCACTGTACCTGTATGAATTGCAGACGTTGAGGGCCAAAATACGTTGAACCAAACATTTGGATATATCATTATGAGTTATATATTGCAAGTTGAGGTTGAATGCTTCTTCAATCCTGTGAGGTCTTAGACTTGGGAGGCCACCACCTGCGCTTCACAATGCCCCAAGAAGTGGCTAAGACTGTAGCATCTCCAACTCAATCCCGGTGGAGAGGTCGTGATTGAGGTGAGAGTTTTGAGCACATGGAATGATTCTGATAACGGCAAGGTCTTTCTTAAACCAAGAGCTTGTAGAAAGTCTGCTTGTAGCACGGTACCGTGACATGCAGGAGTAGGTAGTAGTAGACCAACGGTTGTCAGACTGTAGAATCCCGTGTGCCTTGCGCCTGCCGCCTCCGAAGCCCCTGCAGTATGGCAAGGCGCCCTCCCTTTACCGGCGGAAGGGCAGCTTGTGCGCGGGTCAAATCAAGCAGCCAGATTTGATGAAGTAGATTAGTAGAGATGGCCTCCAACCCAAGAGCGATGGCCTCCAACCTAAGATGAAGTAGATCAATGGTGAACAAGTAGCTCTAGACGAGTACCAATTGTTGTCAATAACTAATGAGACCAGAAGACCCTGCAGCAACTGCTCCGCCATCACACGCGTGCAGCTGTTCCCATCTGTGGTGGTCTTTGGGGGACAACTAGAGAGGTCTCTGCTAGTTTCAAACGCTTGCAATTGATGGTCAGAGGGGGAATCAGCATTGTTGGGTTACATGAGGACTTGCGTAGTGGTGCTTCCTCGCACGGCCATTCTTCATTTCCAAGCGAAGATGCCCAATGTAGCACTTCCTCAACTGGAATTGGAATGAAGACACGCATGATGACCTCCATGCCCCACTCCCCTTTGGATCATAAATGCTGTGCAGCAAAAGGCCCTGCGCTGCGTGCGAGCATGTTCCATGTGCCATGGGTCATTCTCCGAAAGTTAATTAGTAGCGTCCTTGCTCCTAGTAGTATGGCCAGGAGCCCCTAGTAGCGTCCATGCTCACCTACTTAATTAAGCAAGGCCGGGCCAAAAGAAAAGAACACAATGCGATATATAATATAATATAGCAATTTGAAAAGAACAGTTAGCATGTTTAGCTAGAAGCTACTAGTAACAAGGGCATTGCTACTAGTAGCTTAGAAGCTACTAGTAGCTTCTTGCTCCTAGTAGCGGTGCCCTTTCTTACTACTAGCTTCTTGTTTTTGTTGCGCAAGTATTTGGACGGTTTCCTGACGGTTTCGTTGCAGCTCAAAGAGTCGACCGCCATGACGCAGAAGTTGAGACGCTTGGCGAAGGTCCACGTGTGAGTTCGTCCAACTCATGAGTCAGACATTGCTATTAGCAAGAAGCTAGGAACAAAGGGCATCGCTACTAGGAGCAAGGACTCTACTAGGGGCTTCTGGCCGTACTACTAGGAGCAAGTAGCTACTAGTAACAAGAAGTTACTAGGGGCTCCTGGCATCGCTACTAGGAGCAAGGACGCTAACTAGTAGCTCCTGGCCGAACCACTAGGAGCAAGAAGCTCTTAGGGTGGAGGCCATTGCTAGTAGGTTGGAGGGGGGTGAGGGTTTTTGATGGGTTTCGGACGGGCAAGGTCAGTTCAAGTCTCCGATCACCGATCCAACTTGAGCCCCATGAATTGCCGGGGATTACCTTAAGGATGGGCCCCAAACAAGCACCATATTAATTTGGTGATGTGTGCCACGTTGCCCCCTTCCGGCAGCCACACCATTTCTGAGGCTTACCCAACTTACCTCCCTGCATCTTGGCAATGTTTGATGACTTGAACACGGAAATGAGCAGGGTCAAGAGAGTTGACTGTCTGAGGTTGGTGGTGACGCACTTTCTTTGTACAAGGTTTCCTCATGTTTACCCATGTGTTCATTGTGAGGCTCGTCTTGGCGTAATCTGGACAACTTCCGAACAGGTTGGAAGCCGTTGCTATTAGGTTGGAGGCCATTACTAGTAGCTAGAAGCTGCTAGGAACAAATTCCGTTTCCGGGCTTCGGCTTCGAACGTTTCGCGCTTCTCGACTTCCTAGGTGACCCGGAAACGCTGGGCTTCGACAAGGAGACCTTGGAAACCCACTCTGCCGCCAATGCTCGGCAGATTGCCATGGGCCGCGTTCCCAGCCAACCACTTCACCAGAGGACCATCGTGGAGACATTCAGACTAAAGTAAGTCGCTTATTCCCCAAACAGTGTGGACACACTAGGGGTTCTTACGGTAGTAGTTAAGCACCGGTGTTAGATCGAGGTGTTGCGCATCCGTGTCCGGCTAATTCGCTATTTACAGTACATTCATGCCTCTCGAAATCCTCGAAGTGCATTTCGACTGCGCAGGCTCGCGAAATCTGGGTGGCGGCGGCGGGTGCTTCTCATGCCTGCGCTCTCGTTGTGGTGCCGTGCGCATTTTCGGACATGGTGGTCACTTTTCGTGGCAGGCGCAGGGGAAACCTCGTGATTTGGTGGTCCAAAGTCGACTTTTTCTGAAAGGTGCCAGGGATCGGAGCGGTTCTACCTCGGCGTAGCACTTTGGACATGGTTGTGATCTTCGAGGCGCTCTGATTTCGTGACAGGTGCAGTGAATCGTGACTTGTCGACGTGTGGCTCATTTGGCAGGTTTCATGGCAAGCGCAGCACTTTGTGAACCTCGAGGTGCAGATTTCGTGGCAAGCGCAGCACCTTGTGAACCTCGAAGGGCAGATTTCGTGGCAGCCGGACAGGCCAATTCTAAGGCAACCTTTGCACTGGACAAAGGGGTTGAAGTGAGAAAGGCTTTGCAATTGCAGTATGCAGAAAGTAGTGCAGGCTCCGTAGTTTCTTCACCTAGTTCTCTCAAAAGGTGAGGTGCTGAGGTAAGCCCGAAGCAGCTTTCAACACCCAGGTTTGTTAAGTTCCTGATTGCAGGAGGCCGACTGGACCCATACAATTCGAACACCAGAGACGGCGTCTCCAAGAAATTCAGTTCTCTTTTCGGGATCTTTAGTCTTTAGTCAGTCTTTTTCCCAGCGCTGCGCAGGGTTCTTCTGTTGAAAAGACCTGCTTTCTGAAGACCTTAATACTACTTCTGCATGTCTATACTTCTACATTTGCTCAGTGCACGTGCTATTTGAAGACCTATTCTTTGTGCTCTCGGGCCACCCGTCGTCCAGGTGTTGTTGTTTTGTAGACAGGGCTGAGGCAACAGGCAAGTAGCTTTCATATCGAGTTGGACCTGTGTAGTCTGAAGCTGTCCTCCACACACTGATGGCTTCCAGACCCAGAATTCTGTCGCAGACATGCCGTGACATGCCTTGACTTGAGGCTACATGCCCGGAGTTGCTGAATGTGCTGTCAAAGACAATAAACTTGTCTATGTCGACATCCGCGGATACCAGGCAGAGTTTGCTGGTTCGCAGATCCTACTGAATGCAGAGTTACAGTAGTCGGAGCCCCTAGTTTCAGGGAAAAGAAGTGGGTATTCCATCCATCCCTTGGAGTGGTAAGTGAGTGCGCGTGCTCAAAACAGCATGGATTTGCTTTTCCACTGGTGGTGCTTTTGGTGCTTCAGCCCACCCAGCTCAAGCTAGGTGTCAAGAGTTGTATAGAGCCTGAAAAGATGCATTGGCGCAACCAAACTCTTGAAACAACATGCAGCTTGCGTCAGGTCATATGAGGCTTCTTACAAAAGACATGTATCCACTGCAAAGTCTCAGGCCTTCTCAGCGCTCTCACCACAGTCTCACCTTTGCACGAAATACGCCAAAATACGATGGTGAGCTTTGGCCTTGGGCCTGAGAGCGACTATGGATCGCTTAGTGCATTTTTGGGTGTGGCTGGAGCGTCCCACGAAAAGCACGCTTTGAAGACCAATTTGATCAAAGCTCCACTTCTGGAGGTGGCGAACCCAAATGTCTCAAGCACACGGGTGACGAACCCGAAAGATAGCACTTTATTGAACAAGAAAGTGGCTTTTCGGATGTTGAAGCAGCTAGGCTGTGAAGTGCATCGGCTTGAAGGTGAAAAAGCAGGTGAAGACATGACCCAGTACAGCCAGTGCTTTGTTGAGGTGAACTTGGCCAAGCAACCAGTGCTCTTCAAGATGTTGGTCGAACTGGGACATGGACCTCGCCGAAATGAGGACGGTGACCTGGTGGTGCGTGTGAAGGAAGATCGACATCGGAAACCCGAAGAGGTGGTCGCTGCCTTGTCTCAACCTCGGAAGCCGAAGGAAGTGAAGGAAGTGAAGGAAGAAGGCTATCCTTCCGTTGGCCGACCGAGGTGGGCAAAGTGAGAACCAAACAATCTTTGACGCCCAGAAAAGCATATTCCCCAAGGTCCAAGGAAGTCGGAAAGATACAAAAAGAACAGGAACAAGTCACAAGGGACAAGAACGCACACAAAAAGTTCGTTTTGATGGCATGCAAGGTTAAAAGTTGAAGATGAAGAAGAATTGGTGAAGCGGCTCTACAAGGTTCCTGTGAAGGCATGGACCCATGGTGTTTCAGATTCGCACGGCTAGAGGCTAGCGGCGAGCGCCATCATTGCAGTTGACTTCATGAGTTGTTGCTCTTAAATTGCTCATCCTCCTGCTTAAACAGGGCCTTTCCTCTTCTTGGCAAAATTTATGTCTGTGAATGAGGCCTTTACAGAACTTCTAGGTTTGCCAATGGTTTGTCAATTAGAACTTCTGTTGTGATCCTTAGACAGGAGGGACCTGTCATTGTCACGACAAATGCGGCTCTTTTTCATGGAGGGCACTTTGCTTACCGATACGCACTTACACGATCATACTGTTATTGAGGAGGAGGCTTTTGGATAAGGTAGGGATGTTTAGTACGCACATTTGTAGGACTTGTAGGATGGTACTTTAAAACATGCCTTTTGAATAAGGGTGCTGGAAGCAGGTCCCACTACAGGTAGGATATTCTTCCCAAGACCAATCTTGAAAGTTGTTTGAGGCCAAACCGGAGTTGCACTACTAAGATTTAGGGCAGACTTGTCGAGGCATGGGTTTTACAGATGCTGGATACTCTGATGCAGCACCAAGGTGCCAAACCAATGAACTCCCACAGTTTTTTTTTCTCACCGGTTGTCTTTAACTGAGCAGAATGGCCACAAGTGCCTGCCCTTGGTTTCTCGGTGTGTCGAAGCTGAACGTTGAGTAAGAATGCTCCTAGTAGCTTCTTGCTCCTAGTAGTAGGGCCAGGAGCCCCTAGTAGCGTCCTTGCTTCACTGCGTTTGTCCTTCAGGCCGCAGTGCCGGAGAAGGAACTCTCCAAGCCACGGCGGACTGCTGCCGAACAGCGTGCCTACTTGGACCGGCTGCTGAAGCCACGGGAATGGGAGGAAGTTCCCAGTCATTTGGGCGAGCGTCTTGCTGAAGTGCAGAGGGAACTCGAACCACGGCGAACTGCTGCAGAGCAGCGTGCCTATTTGGAGCAACTTTTGAAACCACGGGACTTGGAACCTCAGAAGGAACTCTCGAAGCCTCGCCGAACGGCAGCGGAGCAGCGTGCCTACCTGGACCAGCTTTTGAGGCCACGAGAGTGGCAAGAAATCGCTGGGATCCAGAATGGATGCGATCCACTCAAGGAGCAAAACATGGACGGTCTTTAGGCCCAAAAGAAAGAACACAAACTACAAAAGGAACAAAAAAGGATCAAAGGTCCAAAGACCAAAAGATAAAATAGAGGTGTATATACTGTATATGCGGTATATATATATAAAGGTCTTAAAGAAAAGTTGTGATCCACTCTAGGAGCAAGTCAAACCACGTCGGACTGCTGCGGAGCAAAGGGCCTACTTGGAGCGGCTTGCAAAGCCGCGGGAGTTGGAAGATGCCTCTGGCACCAAATCTCCGGAGGACGGGTGAAGATTCATTTTAGCTACTAGGTTGGAGGCCACCGCTACTAGTAGGGACGCTACTAGGTGGAGCCACATGCCTCTTTCGACATCACACTCCGCCAGTCAACACTTCCATTCACTAGTCAAACCATCTCATATCCTGTCTGAAACTCTCACCCACTCGCCCTGCCCTATATTACTACCTGGTACTTCCAATGTATTTCATAGTCGCTCAGGGGCCGGTTCGTGAAACATACCTCTTCCATATAGGCCACAATCCGGGTGGGAGCTGTCGTTGAATCAGACTCTTCGCAGCTTTGCAAGGAGTCGTCCAAAACGCCGAAACCTCGTTCACCACGCTCACAAAGGGAGGCATGCAATCGGCTGTCACAACCCAGAAAGCCTAAGAAGACTGAAGCCGAGAACATCGATGCCGATGAAGATGTGCTCGAATACTTGGAACGTTTTGAACATTTAGACGATGAAGAGATGGAAGAGATCTTGGCGAATGGGTCAGACACGCCAGCGGTTCAAATCATTCCTTCGATGTTGGCACAATGTTCGCCACGCTTAGAGCGCATTGAGGAGGAAGCTGAAGGCCCTCGGCGCGCTCGAGAGACAAAAGGCAGATGGAGAGACAAAGGCCAGAGCCAAGGCTCTGGGCCTTCAGGGTCTTCTGCCGGGCTCTCGGGGCCTTATGCGGCACCGGTTTGCCCCAGAAGATATGTCGAGCGAGTGGAAAGCAAGCATCGCCCACGAGGTGCTCCCAAAAACGAACGTAATGAGCTCAGCCTAAGCCCTGATGAGCTGAATCAACTCTCCAGTTTCTTGGCAGCTGAGGGGAGAGATGATGCGGCTCAACGTGAGGCCATGCTGAGTGACATCGATGCTTTGTACAGTCAACTCATCAGAGCTGGTGCTGAGCCGGATCCTTTGGATTCCTTAGAGCTGGAGCCCTTGGAGCCCTTGGAGCCCTTGGAGCCCTTGCAGTTGGAACCGATGCAGGATCCCGTGCAAGAGCCGCTGGAGACAGAGAAGCCAGTGGAGAAGCCGCCAAGCTTGCCCGAAACTGAGCCGACGGTCCAAGTAAGCCAAAGGAACGAGTGCGAAGGCTTAGACTCGGGAGATGGAGAAGAACTCCTCACAGCTATTGGTCAGCTTTACTCGCAAATGATGCAAGACGGCGCCGCGAGGCCCGAAATAGATCCGGACACCACAAGCGAGTCGAAGGAGGTGAGCCACTCGAGCCCCAAACAGAACGAGTCCGACAAAACGCCGAGCTCGGAATCTTCAAGCGATGACAGCGAGTTGTCAAACTTGCTGGAAGAAACTTGGCAATGCTCCCTGCTCCCCCCTACTAGTTACAAGCTACTAGGTGGAGGCCATCGCTATTAGGTTGTAGGCCATTACATACTACTAAGTTACTACTAGTAACAATAAAGCATCCTTTTAGGCAATGCGCTCTCCATGCTTCCAGAGTGTTCTTGCTCATGCAGTGTTTTTTTTATTTCCTTCTTGCTTTGTGACGTTTTCTTTCATGCTCAGGAAGTCCTGTGGAGCGCTCTTCTTCTATCACGAGGAGGTTTACAGATGTCGGAACTCCAGAAGTTGCTGTCCTTCAATTTGCTGAACCGCCTCCCAATCCCAAGCGATGGGCCAAGTGCTGTGCCGCCGAGTCTGCGGCAGCGTCTATCGGCAGAGCTACCACAGCTGTATGAGGCGCTCAGCACCAACAAGGTATCCCAGGAGCAGCACGTCCTTCGCTAGTAGGTTGGAGGCCATCAATACTAGGGTTGAAGATATCACAGGAGTGGCGCCTGTTTCATGACTTTCACGTCCTTACCACAAACATGTCGGGATATTGTGCAAGACGAGCAGCCAGTTGACCAGTGACGATTCGTTGATCTTCAGGAGATTTCGTGCCAAGAAGCCTTGCCACTGCTTCGGAAGGCACGGGATGATTTGCTGGGTTCATCAATGGTCCGACCTCCAGCAGCTTCTCATGCCCAAGCCAAGACCAAGCGAGCGACGAAAGTACGCAGGTCCTGGGCTGATGCATGGGCTTTTTAAATCAATTGCTTGCCCCTTGTCCCCCTTGTTGTTTTTCATTCCAACCTACTAGCGATGGCCTCCAAGCTACTAGCGTCCGATCGCTCCTACTAGCGATGGCCTCCGCACCCCTTCAGACCTGACCACTCACGTTCCTGGAGGACTGGCCTTAGCTATTGGACAGAAGAATCCCTCGAACAGTTGGGAGTGCCCAAGTCGAGAAACCTGATGGCCTGAAGCTGCCTGATGGCTGCCTGGTTTCACCTCAAAACTCGGGCAGAGCTCAGGAGACATGGGACTACTGTATCCTGACTGACAGGTTAAGTTTGGCAAACTAGTGAGGCTTGCTACTTAGCTCATTGCATTTCATTGCCCTGTCGCCTGCTTTAGCCTGACTGAGATGCATGTTTCACCTCGTCAATTGTTGAATCCACGTTTGGCCTTTGAAGCGGGCTGAACAGTTTTTCGCAGATGCACGAGTTCAATTTCATAACAGTAGCCGGAGAAAAATTGGCCGTTTTTGTGTTTTCTCTTCCTCTTCTCGCATTGCTGATCAGAGCAGATTCGCCCAGACTCACAACTTGAGTTTCCCTGAAAATCTAGGAACCAAATGAGTAGCGTGAGCTATCCTGCGTCCAGTAGCTAGTAGCTTAAGTAAGGTACTAGCTACCTCTTCTACTAGCCTAGCCCAAAAAGCTTCTTGTTACTACTAGTAAGGCACCGGTTCCTAGTAGCTTCTTTGTTACTACTAGTAAGGCACTTGTTACTAGTAGCGATGCACTTGCTCCTAGTAGCGAACATTGCTCCTAGTAGCGAGGCACTTGTTTCTACGTTCGCTTCTTGTTACTGGGCGCGCCCATCAGGACAAAGAAAGACGAGCGCCCATGACGCAGAAATCCTTGTTCAGATGTCATTCGATGACGAAACCAATCACTGCCGTGGCCTTCATGATTTTGTGGGAGGAGCCCCGAAGTGCGCGTGCTTCTCTCTATCCAGATCATTCCAGGTCACTTCCGAAGTGAGGGTTTTGTTGCCAAAGGCGTAGCACTGAAGGCCTCTTTGCTCAGAGACCACATCTTGCCGCATTCTAGCTCTTGGAGCCATGGTACTTAGTAACAAGAAGCTACTAGTAACAAGTGCCCTATTACTAGGAGCAAGAAGAGCGTTCAGAGTTGGCTCTCAGGAGGGAAAGCTGGCGCTCGATGACCCGGTGCACAAGTACATCCCCGCGTTCAAGAACATGAAGGTCGGAACATGAGCCACTTTGAGACATGCTGACAAGGGAAGGAGAAGACTTGCAGTGTGCTCAGTTTGTTCTTCAGTTCCTAACTTCGGTTTCTTGGACACGTTGATCCCTTCGTGGAAATCGTCGCGTCGTCGTGCTTCGCGTCCAAAGATCCCGTCCTCGTTGCACACTCCAACAACCATGGAAGTGGACACTTCCCCGGTTGGGAAAATTGTTTTTTCCCCGGGCCAATTTCCACGGCCCAATGATTGTTCCAGGGGTTGCAATTTGAGAGTGGCTTGTTTTTCATGGTTTTTCCACCCAAACATGGATGCCATGGGAGGTGTGGTGAGCTAGCATAGCAGGAGCACCATAAGACACCTGACATGTTGGATCACCGAACGCGCTCCTTGAAGCACCCGTCGGAGGGCGCCCGGGCGCTTCGAGAGCGCCGAGCCCCACCAGGTGTCCAAAGGAGGGCGCTTGGTCGATTCCAAGCGGCCAATGACATTGCGGCACTTGGTGACGCACACTTCAGGCTTAGGCGTGGCGGGGCACGCGAGAACGCGATTCCGATTCGAGGCCTCCAAGCTGAGCGATGCTTTGGGAATCCGGAAAAGACACGTGGCAATTAGCTCAGCCAAGTTGAGTGGATAGTGCACAGTGTCAACAAGGAGTAGCCTGACTTTTCTGTGACTTGGGCAGGCTTGAAACCGGTAGTGGAACACCTGTCCGTGTCAGGCTATGGCCCCTCGAGGGAGCGCAAAACTGAGAAACTGGAAGATGGGCCATATCTCTCCTTGGTCAAGCGGATTGATGCAGGAGTGATCTCCAATCTGACTCTCAACCCGTTGTTTTCTACACGTTTTTACTTTTGTTTGGTTCGAGATGTCGAGGCTGAGTTGTGCCATTGGTCGTGTCATAGTGGCGTCTGGCTTGCGGAGAGGTCCAGCAGTGGGTTTGGTTGTTGTTTGCTTCATACCATTTCATGCCGATTCAACAGTGTCCAGTTCAACATTCAAGTAACCGACGGTTTGACCTCGTTTGACGGTCCTCGACTGAGGAAAAGCTTTTGTGACGAGCTGGCCACATTTCCCTTGCAGTTTCATCCTGGCGATCGATGGGAATACTCCATGGGCTTGGACGTTCTGGGACGTGTGTGACTTCGGATTGGAAGGATCTACGTAGCGACGCACACCTGTGTAGTTGGAACCTGCAACATTTCAACAAATTCCAGAGGTTCAACTGAGGTTCAAAACTTCATGGAGTTGTGGCATTTGGTAGGGCCATTTTGTATCATGTATAATTATGGGGATTTGCTGGTGGCGGCACATTGGTTGCCAGTGGAAGCGTTCGGCCTAGGTTGGAAGTGGTGTCCGGGACGCCCTTGGATAAACTCTTCCGGCAGCGCATTTTTCGGAAGATGGGCATGAAGGACACTGCCTCGTGTCAAGATTGGCTTGGTGAGCAATTTGTGTAGGGTTGGACTCTTGTGCAGGCCATTGCCGGCTTTGGTCCAGTTGGAAGATGTTGGAAGCATTCAAGACCAATTGATCAAAGGGCCAAACAGACCCAAACACACATTGCTTAGCAAAGTGCGATACAGTATTCCATGTCGATGTTCCTGTCTTGCCACACATGACCTGCTAAGGCCTTTTGCGTGAGCCCCCGGAAGGCCCACCGACAGCTGACAGCCTACTACGTGACAAAGGTGAGGTCCAAGAATCGCACCTCGGAGCGACGCAACACGAACGGGGATCGGACGCCATCGCAGCTTCCTCGGCGCAGGACCGTTTTGATACGAGATTGATTGCCCCTGGAAACGACCATTCAACTTGGAGGATTTTTGATCGTTGACTTTGGGCCTTGATGCTCTCCAACCTAATAGGGATGGCCT